GCAGAAGGCGAATTGTTCCAAAACACCCTGGATGAGCTGAGTCTCTCTCACACCCAAGCTTTGGCTGGGCGGGTCTGATCGGAAAGGTTTAATCAGCCACGGAGCTTTGCAAATCCTCCATGGCTCCCAAGCATCTCTCGGGGGGGGGGGGGGGGGGGGGGAGAAGAAGCGATTTGCAATCGTGGTCCCAGATGGGGATCCCATGGTGTGTTCCACCAGAGAGGCACCCAAGGATTTTCTTATGTTATGTATCTAACTGTATTGAATTTTTTCAATACAAGAATAGGACCCCTGCAAACTAAAATATAGGGAAAAGGGAAAGAAGGCATGAAAAAACGAAAGGTGCAAAAAGAAAAGAAGTCCCACAAAAATAGAAAGGAAAGGAAAAGGATCAAGAGGGGGGCATCTAATCTCCTTTACAGCGGATATAAGTACAATTATAAATTGACCTCTCTCTCTAAAGTTACATCGTGACTCTGTTCTTTCTATCATCTATCCTACCTGATCATCAAAACCATAAACCCTAAGTTCATTTTTTCTTTTTCTTTTTACGCAAAAGTCCATAAGGGATTAAGCACGCAAGGATTTTCTGACCAACAATCGCAGTCTGCCTTTGATTGAAGGGCCATCCTTCGAGTGTGTCTGGGCACAAGGCAGAAATAAACTTGGTTTACATTTCAGTGTCCTTAAAATGAACACGGTTGCATGACGTTTAGATTAGTGCCCCATGCAGTTTAGATGATTTTCTCCTCTTGCATTAAAAACCACAGCAGCAACGTCTGAATGAGACTTGGGGAGGTAGTCAGGAACTTTGGGGTCAACGCTGACTGGGGCCTGTACTCAATCATGGTTTGTTGAAGAAGCCTTAGTTGGCTAGATTACAACCACTGAGGCCAAGCTAATCACCCAGTGGATTAACCGAGTGGGTTTAAAGACTTTTCTGCAGAGGAAATAGTATGTTAGTTTGTCTAAATATGAAGCAATCCCTGCTTAACTGTGATCAGTAGCTACTGAATGCTGGAGTACTATAATAACAGAGGTGTGAGACTCACCCTGGCTGGGAATTATAGGAGTTGCAGTCCATCAGAGGCAGAAGGTACCAACTTGGGGAAATCTGGTGTTAATAACAGCAGAGCGGCTTTGAAGTGAGGGATCTGGGTTCAAATGGACCGCGTGGCTTTCATCAAAGGGGACGTTTGAGGTGGCTGTAAAGCTAATAAAACATTTTGAATACCTTGATGATAAAG